GTGTGAGGTGCAGCTTTCAAGTCAATGATGAGACCAGAGGGTGAAAGAAAATATTTATTTGCACAGGGATGGAAGTGAATGTAGGTCAACATTTGGACTAACATTTGACATCTCACTAGTAATTTTATCTGTTATACCAGAGGTGTCAAACATAAGACCCAGTGGCCTGAATCAGCCCAGTAAAGAATCTAAACTGATACAAAACGGATACATACTGTTGAAATTACAATATGTTGTTGTTACATAAAGATATCTCAGGGATTAAATGTGTAGTTAAACTTCTTTTCACTGGTCCAGCCCACTTAAGATAAAATGAGTTTGACTTCCCTGCTTTACACCACACAAAAGACTCCCGCTGAGCTCTGCTCTGAAGTCAGTGCGTGCAAACACACAAACACCGTCACACACAAACACAGAACGGCACAGTCAGTAACAAGCTCGTCCCTAAATGAGGTGAGAGGGGAGGAGAGGCGAGTTACTTTCCCAAGTAGACGACAACGGCGACAACTCCTCCAATCGAGGTGGAGCTCAATTATCAGTGGAGAGAGGGGGCTCTGTGGGGCCGCGGCGCATGAAAACTGGGTTAGAAATGAAGTTAAGCTGAAGTGATTGAGTGACACTCGGTGCAGAGCTATAGCATTAATTCAGTTCAAGTGCTCACACTATTACCTTCGCAGGCTGTGACAGGCCGGTAAATGATAATGGATTAACTGATGAGAGAGGTAGCAACGCACACACGAATCCACACGCAGCACATGTATGTGAGCACAATGAAGGCGCTTCTCTCAGATTCACACACTCATCAACTCGGTTCTCCAGAGCAATTTGCCTTGCTCTCAGACAGTTTGCTGCATTCAGGCAGAACTCGATACATACCTCTTCAAACAGCTCCATACACGCACACAAACACATCAAGCCCTTGTGATGAAAGCGATGTTCATCGACCAACCCCGACTAGATCAAGAACACCGTCTCCTTCTGCATCCTGTAAGCACTCTATTTATTCACTGCTCCATTTCCAATACACTAGGAGCACGCAACACTTCCATCTGAACAGGAAGGACATGATGCCCCATCACTTTTTACAACTCATAGGAGAGAGTCAGAAGGGGATAAAGAGAGTGGCAGGCAGAAAAATAGAAAACAGCAAGAAAAAAGGAAGCATCTCTTATAACATACTGAAGTAATTTTCACATTTCAGCTTTTTCTTGTTACTCTCATTGTAAAACAGCTCCGATTGAGCATAAGAGAAACATGAGGACGTGGAAGGCAAAGTAAAAAAAAGTCC